ACGTAAAAAAAGGTGGTCGGGTCAGCTGACGTGACGTAAAGCCACCGGCTCTCGTAAGTCCTACGTGTGTCCGGACAGCAACGCATTCTGCGACCCTAATAAACCGGCAACGAAGACGCTCTCCGTTCCTTCACTTTATTCCACTCGCAGGCCCCCTATTATCCCCGGTCCCGTATTTATGATAAACTATCCGTTTTTCGGGTTGCATATTGCCTTCTTTTCCTGCCAAACTGCAATGGCCATGGTCATAATGAACCAGGTTGTCGGGTAAATGCTCCTCGTTCGATGCTGGCCTAATTAGACGTCATCAGCCGCCCATAAACGCCAACTCCAAGTGGTGTTCCACCCGAGGCTCGAACTCGCGACCTTTTGAGCAGAAGTCTAACGCTCTAACTATTGAGCGATGAGTTCGTTGACTTGCTGGTTTAGAATGGAACATACTGACACTCATTGATGAATACGCGTGGAATACACTTCCTGAGGACGTCATTATGTCGGAATCCCTAGAGGTTTGTAAGCGAAAACTGGATCGATACAGTAGTGCGCGTTATAGAAAGAATTGACCGCAGCTGACAATTTACAACAACAATAATCGTAATAATACTTTCAATTTTTTATTAGTATTGGTTTTTATAGCCATTCGCGTACCATTCACTGAAATAGTGTGTCCACTACGGGTAAATCGTAATTCCTACTGCTACTACCTACACTAATCGCAATATTTCAGTGATATATATATGCTATATTATAACGCCCTCCCACCAATAGTCTCATGCGAAGGTCTCCGCCGTCTACCGTACTTGGCTATCTGCGTGCCGTGATTACCCCGCCAGCGATCGCATCAGCCAGGCCGGACGGCCTAAACATTAACCCTTGTTCGCCCGCAGCGGACTGTCGACGATCTGGACGGATGTTTCTGTTTTTCCAGTCCCGTCGGCGGACTCTGCAATCAGCAAGGAAGAATCAGGTCGCAGCTTCCACACGGTGATGATCCTGGGAACCTTTGCCATGCCCCCCCCCAAAAAAAACACGGACGATTTTTTTCCCTTTTTTCTCCTAAATCCCACAGAGCGACAGTTTTTCTCCCAAAAATCCCTAAGGAGTTTTTTCACTGTCTGCTCCTATTTTTCCACCCCCTGACTCAGGACAACTGGCCTCGCCAACAGTCTGAGATACAATTTTTCTGCTACCACTACACATATGTATAAATAGGGAACTCAAAGGAAATTTACCTACATATCCCTCAATATACTGATACTGATACTGAACCTTCGCCGGTCGCCCCAAGGCAGAGCGGGAGAAGTGAGTTAGGTTAGCGATCGCGATCGGTCAGCGTTCAGAAACGGGATGTCTTCTTCGTTGTCCCACCGCCGTGGTCGGATATCTTACAGCCCTGCGTTTGCCTCGCAGCCTGGCCAAACTTGCTGCTGCCTACTGGCTATTAACTGTATTTTGCAACTTACATTTGACCAGTGAACACGAACATGCATTAAACAATGTGTCATTGTGCTGTTTATTTTTACAATTGAAATGGCGCCATCTTGGGGCGGGCGTTATGAAAACATCGAGGTAAATATGATGACCTGTCAGCTGAGGGGTTGTCCATTACTGCGACAGGTGAACGAAGACTACTCTTTGACATAAAATAATAAATCAAATCATGACGATAAATCGCTAGACAGAGACAGTGACCCTGCTACCACTCCGGAGGTTTGATGCATTGCCGCTCTATGCCTTCCGTTCGAAGGTAGCGCCATAATTTCAAGTACCGTCGAGTGGTGCACCACCTCGAGGTGCTGGTGGCAGCTAGTGCGCCATAAATGGCCTCCCAAGAATTGTGCAGTTCGACTTTGCAGTGTCGAAAGGCTGTTTATAAGAAAATGACTCCCAGGCATGTCGGTTTTTCTCCTCTCGTTTGCAACGGCGAGACTCTGTTACCCCTCAGTATTGACAGTGGTTCTTGACACTCGCTAATGAATGTCAACCTGACCGTTAATGGATCTCATCAGTCCTTCTCTGCCTTGGACATCGAAAGAGACCTTGACAGCCGTAACAACCGGTAGCATGCAGATAGTATTGTCGCTCGTGGCTCAGTGGTTAAAGCATTTGACTGTGATCAGAAAGGTAGCAAGTTCGAGGCTCGGGTGCGACACTACTTAGGCCTGGCTGATGACGGCTAATAAGCCAAAAATTGGTCATTCCAATCTCTCCCTTCTCTTAGCGGGCAATGTTATCTGTCTATACTACCAGCTGTTAAGGCTGTCAGGGCCCCCGGCGAGGCCTAAGGCAGAGCGGGACAGATGAGTCCCGTTAGCGGTCGGGTGAGCGTTCATCAACGAGGGTCAATGTCCACTGACCTAAACCGGCGACGCATCTAGCTCGTGGCTCAATGGTTAAGGCATTTGACTTTGATCAATGAGGTCACGACTTCG